CGGCGCGGCCCTCAGGCGGGGCGCCGCCGTTAGCGGGCGGGCTGACGTTATATTTGGCCTCCCGTGCTTGGACGACAGATGCGTCCGATGTTGTAACAGTGACGACGGCCTGAAGAGAAACGGGGGGAGATGTTCTTTAAATGATGCGTGGTTGAGGAGGAAACCCTTGGGCGCGAGTCCTCTGTGTAGGCCGGGCGTGACGCCTCTGCCCAGTGACTTCGGCACTAATGGCGGAAACCAGCTGCGGTGCCGAGGGCCGGGACTGGATGGGGGGGGGCCCGCCGCGCCCCCCCCCCTGGCTGCAGGAAGCCACCGTCCCCTGCCCTTCCACCCCGAAGGGGACTCGAGAGAAAGTGGGGTGCGGATAGGGATCGTCCAGGTGGCTGGGCGTAGGCAACCAAGCTGTGATTGATGGCTAGCTTTCTGTTTTCTTTATGTTAAAAGCACCCCTTTATGGCTTGAACAGTGCTATGCTTTCTCAAGCCTTTTTTGAATGTGTTTCCTTTCCTAGGTAGACGGAAAAGCCTTTTCCCCATGAGACTGGTCAGGCAGTAGAGTGGGCAGCCCAGGGATGGTGGCCGGGCTCTGTCCGTGGAGGTTTTCAAGACCTGACGGGACAAAGCAGCTCGGTTTTTTCCCATAGCTGACCCTGCTTTGAGCTTTTGAGGTCCCTTCCAACCTGGATTATCCTTGGATCCTCTATATTTTTTTCTAGACAGCTTTATGTTGGTCTAGTGTATTCTTGTAATCCTTCTTTACCTGATTTCCACTAGCAATGCAGAAGCGTAATTTTTTGTCTGTAAGTGCAAAAGTGTCACTGCTTACTCTTGATATGCATTAATCTGCAAAACTGCAATCTGTTACTGCTCCAGATTTCTTCACAAGCTATTCAAATCCTATCTACATTGCCGTCTGCTAGGTAGATGCCTACTCTTCCTGGTTAATTCAAAGTTCAATTTAGGCATTTAGCAGTTTCATTTAATTCTCTACAGCCTGCAAAGACCTGGCTACAGTTTGTTGTAATGAGAATGGTAGTGACCAGCATACAGTAGTAGTCATACTGTGCACTCTTTAGTAAAAGATTTTGTGAAAAATACAACATAAACAAGAGGTTGGTTTGCTAATTTTCAAGAAGTGAGATTTGAGTCTCAAAGTACACATTCAGGAATGCAAAATTTCTGAATGAAATGAGGGATGAATCAGCCAGTTGATCCTAGTATCCATTTCCTATAGAAGATATACATAGGAGTCTCATTAAATAATAAAACTCATAACACCCCTTTACTCTGTGGATAAGAGGTCACTGCAAGTGTGCTAGCCAGCAGGATCACATACAGCTTCCACTTACAACTTCGATTACTTCACATCACTTCCTTATTGCTGTTAGGACACCTGATGATAAGAGAGTGCTGCTGGCAACGAGAGCAAACATCTCGTGTAAGATGGCTGGTTTTTTTTTCTTAATCTCTCAATTGAGTTACAATCACCACAGCAATATGAGTATGTAAAAAGTTACAAGTGGGGTCCTGCGTTTTAGAACAGTAGTCCAGCATGAGGTTTAAGAGAACTGGAGAAGTATTGGAATAGGTTACATATCCTGGAAACATGATGCTGTCATCTGTGGACTCTCAAATACATCACATCATAACTCTTCATCATCTTCTCAGTTTCCATAGAACACTATGACATTGAAATCTGTTCATCTCATGCTGCATATTATATTTTGCTTAGTGCTTTACAAGGGCCCCTGAATACCCCAGTCAAAATGCAGTTTTGCAAATAAAGTTTTCCTTCCTTTTATAGTACTCTGTGTTTCTGCATGGATGAGCCTCACTAACAACAGGAAAGAATTGACTATGATGTCAAACATCTTCAGACAACATAAAGCTTCTTTTAAGTGAACATAACAATCATTTCCATGTCAGGTCTTGGAAGAGCACAATTTATCAGAATTTTTTAAAAGCTCTATAATAGATAAAATGACTGTATTTTAAGTGCCTGCATTACTCACAAGACAATTTTGTTTAACAGCAGGATTACACATTGAAGTAAAAGTCATGGTTAGTTATTTTTCCAGTTTGTACTTTGGAAGTATCATCTAACATCCCAAACAATTTTAATGATACTTTATTTTGCTGGCAGCTTCCAGCTGAGCTGAAGTATTAATGAAGAAAGCCATGATCCTTCAGAGATTTCATTACTACTGGACCCACTAAATCCAGTAGAACTACTCAGACTACTCAGACACGGGAGATTGTGTCACTCCCTGTGGAGGACAGGCTTAAGTTTGCAGTCCCCGTGAAACAATCACTTTTTTATGATATGGAAGAGTCAGCACGTGAGAAGTCTGTGACTTACCTATACGTACAGAGCTTTCAGGGCTATTGGGAAAAACGGCTTGTTCTGTGGTGGAGCTTGCTCGACAGCACTTCTCAAGTCACAAAGTTGATAAAGATAAAGTCATTAGCCTTGGGGTTATGACACAAGCAGCTTCATGAGGCAATCAGATTTTGCCTCAGAGACTGAAAATAATACTAAAAAACAAGTTACCAATAAACAGCTTCTGTTAATAAGATAAACTTGCACATGGGAAATTATTTTTATGTCTTATTCCTTTAGTTTATGATGTAGTAACATAACGAGTCCAGCTTTTAGAAGCTGAAAAACATCAACTTAAAAGCAAAGGTACATTTTCTTGAGATAAAAGTATTTTACCCCTGGAAAATATTTAACCTTACCTGGCAACTGGATAGAGGCTCTATCAGTTAAGTTCTCTAAAAAAACATGTAGTTTCTTAAAAGATGGGCTATAGAGAAGATTCGAGGGGTCCCATATAGCCGTTCCTGCAATAGGCTTCTTGGTCTGTTACATAGGAGAATACACTGCGTGATCATAGCAATCTTTTCTCCCCTAAAAAAGACAAAACTAATTTAACTTAATGCTCACATAGGTACTTTTTGAAACATGCTATACTTTGGGAGATGTGAAAGCAACTGTATAAATAGAGTTGTCGTGCACAAATTGTATTTTTTTTTCCTCATGTTCAATTTGAGCAGTTTCAAGCATGTAACCAGCGGCGGCAGTTTGTGCGAGTATTTCACAGACCAGCAGTTCTCCCTTTCATACTTCGTGCTTCCAAAAGGCTGTTATGAAAACACCACCTAGGAAGTTAAAGATAACACTGGACAATATCTTTGTTTGACTGCTGCGGCCCCGATGGCCGTTGCAGAGCAGGTGGCATCACACATGCTATTGGTGATACCTGGCAGTCAGTTTGAGCAAAGGTGGAGTATGAGGTTACCCACAGCTACCCCATGGTCGCTGTGTGGACCCCAGCACAGCCACGCACCTATTCCACGAGGACTCTGCCTCCTGGGTGTGGCAGGCAAAGACAGAAGTGACCTGGAGACAGAAATAAGGCATTAGTGCAAAGGGCAGCTGTAGCAAAGAATGGAAGAGGCAAGTGAAGGCTTGAAGATGTTACAGTGTACTTGCTTCCTCCCCCAAAATACCAGTGTGCTTATTCAGAACCCAGTTAACAGACTCAGTGAAAAACACGTACATAAACGTTTTGATGATTTTTTTCCTTAATTATAACAAGAATGACTTCATGTTGCAGTTAGCCTATGAACTGCTACTGAAGGAGCACCAGGGGGGTCTCTGACACATGAAGGAACAAGTCATGCTCCAAACAATGCTTGAGACGTTAAGCAAATACATTCAGAAGAGTTAAGAAAGATATTTAAGCTTTTTTTAAAAAATTAATTTAGTAGAATTACTGACAAATTGCGTGAAACATTCTTCTAATATCGTACGAGTGAGCTGTAATGTAATGAACAATGTTAGCTGCAGGAATTGTCTGACAGTTTGGTTCTTGGATGACTGCAAGCATTTATATGGACAGAGTGCTGCCCGCACATCAGGTCTCTTGTGTCTGTATGTTATTGTTCCCGTGAGGCGTCTGTCAGAGCATTAACCTTTCAAAAGTATTTCCCCCCCCTGCTTTCACACGGAAGCTGAATTTTGTGCTAATAACAAAAACCACTGTTGAGAGTAATTTCTTACACTAGCTCAGTCTAAATATCAGTGTCTCTGAAAACATTATGAGGTATAACTTGTGCCTTAAATGTGTTTTCTTAAAGTTGCTGTTCTTTCTCCACAGGGCTGAATGCCACAATGTTTAGAGGAGTCGCTTATGGTGCCAAAGATACATTTACTCTTCTGTTGACAAGATCTCAATACTATAACCCAGGGTTGAATTTTTCATCCATATGGGCTGAAGTAGCAAACAGAAGCTTCCCAGTATATTCCACTTACACAACTGATACAAAATCAAGAGAGGAAAATAAAAAAACCATTGACAGTCTCTATAGATTATCAGTTGACATTAAGAAGATACGAAGAGTAAAGGAATGGGTCCTTCTCCAGGATGTGGCCTATGTTAAAGAAATTTCTGGTATCTTACAAGAAATGGGAGCGGATGAGACTGCTGTAGCCAACATTTTAGAACGCTATCCAGAGGCAATTCTCCATACCCCTGCAGAGATAAACTCTCAGAGAGCTCTATGGCAATTAGTATGCCAGAATGAAAAACAGTTGATTAAATTAATAGAACAATTTCCAGAGTCTTTTTTTACTACTGAATATCATGAGAATCAGAAGGCAAATATACTGTTTTTTCAAGAGTTGGGACTTAAGAATAATATAATCACCAGGTTCTTGACAAGTGCACCCAATGTTTTCTGCAATCCTGTTGAGAAAAACAAAAACGTGATCGAGGCATTACAAAGAAATTATTTAAGTTTAGGAGGTTCTGATGCAAATATGAAGATCTGGATACTGAAGCTATTGAGCCAAAATCCATTTATTTTATTAAATACCTCCACCGTAATCCAGGAGAACTTGGAATTTCTCCAAAAGAATGGTTTCACTGACCATGAAGTCCTACAGCTGCTGTCCAAACTTAAAGGTTTTATTTTTCAACTTACTCCTACCACTATGCAGAAGAGTATGCTTTTTTCCAAAAATGTCTTTAAGTGCAGTGATCAAGAATTGAAACAGCTAGTGCTGAAATGCCCAGCCCTTCTCTACTATTCTGTTTTGGTTTTGGAAGAAAGGCTTGAAGGACTACTGAAGGAAGGAATTTCTGTAGCACAAATTAGAGAGACACCGATGGTGCTGGAGTTGACAACGCAAATTGTTCAGTACCGAATTAAAAAACTCTCTGCTTTGGGGTACGATATAAAGAGTGGAACTCTAGAAAGCTTGAATGGTACTAAGAAAGATTTTGAAGTCAACTATGGTAAGATACAATCAAAGAAGGAGAGGCCAATTTTTAATCCTGTTGCTCCTATACACACTGAAGATTAATTTGGATGCTGTACTTTAAACTATGCAAAAGAAAATTATCAAAGAAAAAAGAGATGTTGATTCTTTGAGAAGAGGTGAAACAAAAGTAATCTTAACCAGATTGTAGTCTTACACTGTACTTTGTCCTGGACTGGGTCTCTTGGGCGCAACTTCATTATACAGTTGTATCTTTCTAATGCTTTCAAATAATATAATAGAATAATATCATAGGTTATGATAAAGTTTGACTTTTTTCCCAGGGAGTACCTCACATGGTTTTTTGTTTCTGTTACATTTCCTTGCCTAACAGGGCATTAACTGCTTTGGATTTTCAGCTCTTGTCACTGCACAGTCCACCCTGTGGTAGTGATTAGCACAATCTTTAGCTGAGAAGGCGAAAAGGAGGGCTATTATTCTGGCAATGTTCATTAACCCGCTGGTTCACTCACTTTTGGAGACTCCAGTTTTGGAGTTCCATTCCTTATTGCTGAAGTAAGTAGCTCTAGCTCCTGGATCCTGAACTGCAGCAGACTTGACTTCATGGATGGGAGTGCCTAGCTACAGCAGAGTCTGAGAACGGGGGCAGGACGGAGTATTTTTATTTAGCAACTGCTACAGTGAAGCCTTAGTATGTTTGTGTACAAACCATAATGCAAAGAAACCACAGGACAACCTCCTTTACATTTCTGAGATGTCAAAATTTACCCCTTTTGCACAAGGTTTGGGGGAGAAGGAAATACATTTACTGCTGTTGTCTAGTTCTTAATTTCTTCTCTCCTAGCAAGGCTTGAGGAAGAGAAAAGGCTCAGGAAAGACTCAAGTGATTCTCAAATGATTGTAGGAGAAAGGAAAAAGTCATGCTTTTATATTAGGTGTAACAAAACTCTAGTCTGTAAACCACTGGTGATTAAAAATGACTACCAGATTTGCAGACATCTGCCACAGTTTCTAAATATATGGGTGACACTGCTTCTAAGGTATCACCGAATGGTAATTGTTGAGAAGTGCTGGCTTTCAAAATAGTAGCTATCTGACAGCATGTAAGTTCTCAGGGGGTTTTATTTATTTTCATTTATGAGCTGTGAAGGATGATATAAAATAGTAGCATCATTGATTATCATCTCAATAGAATTAGGCTCATCAATGATTTTATTTCTCAGACAGGCTTTCCTAAGCAACTGTGGCATACAGATTTCCTTTTGACAGGAGAAAAAGCAGTTACACCCACCCCTCGCTCTGGGCCATTCTTCCAAGGTCATTTTTAGCACACATTTTGGCAGCAAGTCCAGGGCTCCTTTTCTTAAAGAGAAGTTTTAAACTGCTGAGGAAAGCTGGTATTGAATTACTTGTTTAGAGGGTGGGCTGCAAGATGATTTTATATAGCCTGCCATGTTATCTGCTGCGAGCTTGGAAAGGGCTAGAAACATCTGGTTAGAGCAATGCCAAGATCTCAACAGCTGAAGGTCTTAAACTTGCCACCATGCAGGCAAGTGCGGACGTGACAGCAGCTTGTGGGTGTAAATAGCGCTCTTGTAGGAGCATTTGTGACAGTGGCGAGAATTCAAGTAGGGGCACGTATCACCAGCACGATAAGAGTCAGGCTGTCTTACTAAGCCATTTCTTTACCAACTCTTAGAAAACACTAAAGTATTTTGAAGAGGAATCTGGGAAGACAGCCACATTAAAACTTCACAGGAACTTGCCTTTGTCACTTCTGAACTGTCCTTCAGTGCTTAACTATTAAGCAGACCACAGTATTTGAATTCAAAAGCATCCTTCCCTTCAGACACAAGGGGGCATTTCAGCTCTCTGAAGCTACTCATAATACCATCCACAATGCTGAACCACAGAACTGATCAGTGGTTTAGGAGGAAAACGAAACCAAGACTTAGAACAGTATTTTCCCTGAAAATTTAGTTTCAGCATTTCTACAGGTATCTCTTTTTAAAAGTTCATGAAACAGCTTATTCCCATCACTTACAGTACTTCCAGTGGCAATGGACAAAATTGGAAAGTGACATATTTCCTTAATCAAGTCACAGCCTGAGTTACCGCAAACTCATTTGCACTTCTGAATGTTTCAATTTCTCCTCTTCCCCTTTCAAAACAAAAGCATAAGCAGAAAGACTCCTTTTCTCTACCAGCAGACCAAAATTAATTCAATCCTTCATGCATAACTCTATGCCTGGGACCTGTTTCTCCCTTCTTCACAGGATTTATTTATAATAAAATCTCAAGGAAGCTCTCAGTTACCAAAATATTGTATTGCGAACATCAGTTTCCTCCTTTCTTGCTGTCACTCAGAGTGAATGTGAACCAGTTTACACTGTTTTAAGTCTGGCACAGAAAAGCTTGTAGACCAGCCTTTCATTACATACTGAGTAGTCAGGCATACAAGTAGTCGATAAACATTTCCCCTTTTGAAATGGAGGCTAGGAAAAGGCGAGTAAAATAAAGCCACCACAAAAACAATCCCAAAACACAGGAACAACCCCACTCCCCTTGAAAATGTCAGTTCCATAGTCCATTCAGCTCACTATAATCTTAAAAGCAGGTATCCCCAAGCCTCAGTTCACAGGGGAAAAAAAAAAAAATAGTAGAAGGGGTTTTGTGTTATGTTTATGCACAGCCAACACCACGATGAAGTTACAGTTTTTGTTAAGAGCTGGCTGGCATTATTTAGATGTGGATAAAAGATGCTCTGGGGCACGATACTGTGGGAAGACTTACACCTAAGTTATGCCTTTCTCCACAAATTAACTAAGGAGGCTTTCAGATGTCTGAAACAGCAACAATTTAATGTTTCACAAGTGTCAGGACAGAACTGGAACAAGTTTTTAAGACAAAGCAAGTTTTGTAAGTGAATGGAAAATATGCAGGATATAGGACAAAGCTCTTTTCGAAAACTAAAACCATATGCCATGTTGAAGTGTTTCAGTTACAAGATTCAGAAGTAATAGCTACAGGATATGTTAAGAACAAAACATAATGAAGTGCTGGTAGCTCTTTACAGATCTAACATTGCTTATCTCAGACCACGCTTGTTTTGTAGCAAGTTTCATAGTATAAAAAAATTAAAGAATGTCATTAAAAAAGGGGAATGACCAGTTCAACATTTGTGTTTTCAGAAAACGATTAGGAAGGGTTTGGTTGAGTGTCATAAATATCACTCTTCTCCCACACAGGTGACTTGTAGAGTTCAGTGGTAGCACTCTGGGGATGTGTCTACATTGGAAACAGCAGGGGAGCAGACCACATTAAGTTATTTGCTGCAGGTAGATTGCCTTTGATAGCCAAACTAGCTCACTTCTAGAGTTAACTGGTATCCTTAAACGACAGTTCTATGTGATTACCTTCTGACTACAAAAAACAGTTCAAGTCTTCCATTTGTTGCATAAGCTTGCTTCACTACACCCTTGCAGCAGAATGGAACATCTACCAAAAGGAGCAGATAAATCTGTTTGCCAGGTTTTTGCTCTCCCCCCTACCCCAAATCCCCATGCTTATGAATACCATACTACCAACATATACAGCAATTACTGATATGAAATAAAGTTGTTCCAGACTGCAAGTTGAAGTACCAATGGCTCAGAGACTAGGTGACTACTGTACCATAATTTCCACATAGTATACTTTCAACACCCATGAATACAGGACTTAAGTTTTAGACAAGTGATCAAGTGATATGTTTTTATTAATTTCTAAAGTCTCCCTACATATCCTCCTTATACAACCATACCCACTGAAAAAGTAAGCTTAACGTTCTCTGTAGGAGCACAAGTTTTTCGAAAATACTGCATACACAACATTCACAGCCACCTTCTATGGGCTTCCAAAGAGGTTACTTATTTGCAAAGTCAGTACACAAAACAGAAAGATCACCAACAGCTATTTTAAGGCAACCTCAAGCTGTGTCTTACAAGTGCACTTTGACTCACACACTGCAGAGGACCAAGAGATGTTCCCATATGAGGTGTGTCAACGTTTGGAATCTGTCAGTATATGATTTACTTGGATGATTCCTTTTTTTTTTTTAAGGCCTTATCCACCTTTTTTTTGTTTATTTTAAATAAAAGAGTGTTGCATTTTACTCAAAAAATCAAAATGCAAAGTATGAGAAAAGGATATAGTGAAAAATTTCTTGCATTTACTTAAATAGAACAAGAAGCTAACCTGGCGCATCATGGAGTTGAGACAACAGCTTTGCTAGTTCTTCAGTGGTTTCCAACTACATCAAGGAACTTCTTTCAAGTCAGACAGTTGTGCTAGATGACCACAAACATCAGCCATTTTCCATTAAGCCATCATTTTTTCTAGTGTCTGTAAGAAGTTTATTAGAAGCAAGTTTTCACTTGCAGGAGATAGATGCATATCATTAAATACACCTGAGATGGAGCAATCTTGTTTTCAGTAAGAACTGATAAGGTTTCAGATATTGGGATTCATAAAGAGAATCTAAAGCTCATTCTGTGAGCTGCACTGAAATGACAGGACAGTTCTTTACACAGCTTCACCTAATAAAAAGATACTTTTCCTAATAAGGCATTAAGTTAGTTTACTCTTTATGATCCCTTCTACCATGCTGTCAAACCTTCTCACTTCTATCTCCCACTCTCATTTCCAATTTCTGCACACCTCCAGTTCTAGTTGCTCCAGTCCGCATGGGCAGAATACAGTCAACGACAGTTTACAGGCTGCCTGCAAATACGTTTCATAAACGAAACTATGTGGGTACATCCAACATCGCCATTACACAGCTGAAGGATCCTTAGCAGGAGGATGTGGAAACCACTGAGAACAGTAAATGGCATCTCATTATATTGATGGTATGGCAGAGACTACCAAGTTTATGTTCACATTTTAGGCCAAAACTGCAAAAGAGTTACAGTAAATGACTATTCAAATACGTATTACCCCTTCAGATACACTTACGCACTCCTATAGTTATCAAGTGTAACATTTCACCAGATACAAGGCTTCAATCTAGGCTCTAATAAGTCTTCATATTCTGTGCTAGCCAA